TATCTAAAATAAAGTTTAGATAGCGGTTAACGTGGAACCACTTATTATATAGGTTGAATATAAATTTAAATATATTTTTAATTTATTTAAATATGGTTTATTTTTACTATTTATAAAATAGATTAGTTTTAAATTTTTAACTTTTCTAGCATGATCTATTTTTAATCTTTGTTATTAATTATGTTAAAAATGAAAAAATATTAATTAGTATACTTAAACTAATGTATATTGATTATCTAATGTATATTGATATAATTTTTTTGTATATCAATTATATGAAAATAATCATGGTTAAGTAATTAATAATAATAAAGCGATAAATTTAAAGATTAGATTAAAAATAAAGTTTTATAAAATAAAATTGTAATAATTTGATTAAAATTTTATTTTCTTAATTAATTAAGTTAATGAGGAATTAAAATGTGATCATTTGATGTGTTTAATTTTTTTAATATAACTTTTTAAAATATAATTTAATTTCAATTGATATTTTCAATTCAAAAATAAATTAAAGAATATTTATTATTAAACTTTTCTTAAACAATGTATTGAATAGTTAATATTACTCTAGTCTTAATTTATTACAATTTAAATTTTTAATAAATTTGATTTATTTTTAATAATATTTTTATTTTAGTAATTTAAAATTAAATTTAATCTTCATTTTGTTAATATTGAGACCAAAGTTTATTTTTAAAGTATCTTTTAAAAATTAAATTATTTTTAGAAAATAAATTACTTTTAAAAAATAAATTGTCAAAAATATACTAAAACAATTAAAGTATATTTATAAAAAAATAAATTTAAATATCATAAAAAAATAATGTTAGTTAGCGATCGATTTAAATTAGGTCGCTATTTTCTCATTAGCTGATCAGATTATAATTCGGTCACTATTTCAATTTGTAATTCGGTCGCTAAATCGATCGCTAAATGATTTTTTTATTTAGTGTGGAATAGTCACCGATTTAGCGATCAGAAAATTTGCGACGCAAACTATTGGTCACTATTTCGATCGCTAACTAAAAAATGTGAAGCCAAATTATATTTCGATGGCTAAATCGGTCGCTAAATTGTGACCGAATTAATTCGGTCGCTAATTCGGTTGTTAACAGCAACCAAACTAAATCGGTCGCTAAATTGGTTGCTAATTGCGATCGAATTAAATCGGTCGCTAAATCGGTCGCTAATTGCTACCGAAAAAATTCGGTCGCTAATTTCGGTCGCTAAATGTGTTTTTTCTTGTAATGTAAATATAATAAATGCTGACAGAAAAGTCTAATATTCTATGAGCATTCGTATTATAACCAACTAGAAATCACAATTTAATATTTTATAGTATGAGCAAAGAAGGAATAAAAGCTTACTGTTCCCTTTTGTCTTAGGAACTTCTCTGAGAAGTGTTGCTAAGAGGGTTGATTTTCCTGAGCCAACTTCTCCGCATATGGCTACCTTCTGCCTGGGTTTAACTTCCATGGTGATGCTCCTCAATGTTGGCCTTGATTCATTATACCTTCCCATGAAAAGTCAGCATATTTGATTAAAATTGAGCCTAAAATGTTATCATCAGAATTCCTGTTCCTTAAATCTTCACTTTGAAGTTCAGGAGCTTGGAGGAATTTAAGAATCCTGGAATAAGCAACATTTGATTGAATGATTGCCCCAACAACATCTGGAATGGCTGTAATAGGCTCTTGCACAAGGCGTAAAGTAGCCAAAAAGGTGAAAACATTATTTGCATGTAATGGAATTTTCAGGAAATAACATGCCCAAAAAGAAGCAGCAGTGGGCAAAATAGGTGCAGTCCAAAACAAAAATATATTGTATGCCTTTCTTAATTGCACTGACGATAACAATTTGAGTTCTAAATTACGTAACTTGTCTATAACAATTTTAAAATGAGTTTCCCATGCATATAGTTTTAGCACTTTCATATTCACGAGAGCCTCAGAACTTGCCTTCAGTCTCTCATCCTGAGCCACCATGAGTTTGGTCTGAAACTTGTGTTGTAACTTTGCTAGTGGAGTATTGCAAAGCAAGGTGAGAACTATCACTACCAATGAGGCAATTGTTGCTAGCCCAATGGTATGGAAAAGTATTACCGATGCAATACATAGTTGGATGCTTGTTGTCCATGTCTGGTGAAACCAAAATGGAAGTTCTCCAATTCTATAAGCATCCACAGTCACATAATTCATTATCTCACCACCAGAGTGTGTCAATTTAGCGACATTAGACAGCTTTAGTAGCTTTTTATAAATGCACGTAGAAAGGAGTGATTTAACCCTCATTCCTATAAGTCTACTACGGAAATACCACTGCCTTTGTGAGAAGGATTCAATGATCTTTATAAGGAAAAGTGATATTGCCAATACGTAACCTTCATATTTGAAAGTTTCATTACCCTCAGCAACCGATATAAAGGCACTTAGAAGTAAAGGACTAGCAGCCTGAGACAGTACCATGAGGAATGCAAAGAGCCCAGATATCAAAATCTCTCTCCAGTGGCACAAAACAATTGTCCATAAAACTGACTCTGATGATGGTTCTTTTTGTTTCTGTCTGTTCATTTCTTTTACGAACATCGGGTAACAAGTTTCTGCTCGATCTAACTCTCTTAGCATTGGGACATCCTCGTCCTCAAGTGTTTTCTCTTTACCTCTTTTGATCAATGGATTCAGCCACCAAAATGTCATTCGACTAAAGAATCCAGCTTTCGAAAATGGGGTTACATAGCTGCTAGAATCAACTGTTAGGATCAGAGTACTAGCATAAATACACACAACTAAAATAGAGACTAGAAAAATAACACTGACAATAGGCAAAAATGGAAATTTTATAATGACTACCCTTTCCTTTACAATTGGAAATTACCAATACTTGGAAAGTAAAAGAGAAAGAAGGAGAAATTTTTGGATGTTTGAAATAAGGGGGGAGGGGCTCCTTTTATAGGAAGGAGGAGAGCCCCCAATTGAAGTTCCCACGGATGTGGGACTTCTTTCTTCACAATCTCCCACTTGAAGATTTTGATGAAATTAATCAAATCTTCACACTATGTCTTCTTCTCTCACATCCATGTTGCTTATGCTTCAGATAGGCCATAGAGGGATCGACTCCATATAAACTTGTCGGCGTTAGCTTAGGCTTTGTCATTACATACTGCTAGGTTCTTCTCGGTGTGGATCTTACGTAAATCTACACTTCCTTCTTCTACTACTTCTCGAACAAAATGATATCTTATTCCTATGTGTTTTGTCCTCGAATGAAAGGTTGGATTCCTTGCAATGTGTAAGGCACTTTGACTATCACGAGTACACAACAATTTGTTGTTGCTTGTGACCAAGTTCCCCCATTATTCTTTTAATCCGAGATAGCTTCTTTACATGCTTGGGTGACGACCATGTATTCAGCTTCAGTAGTAGACAGAGCTACCACATCTTGTAACTTGGATAACCAACTTACTGCCCCTCCATTGATGGTAAACACATAACCGATAGTAGACTTCCTTTTATCCGAGATCACCTGCAAAATCCGAATCTACATAGCCTCCGACAAGCGCTTCGATCCTCCATAACATAATGCAACATTTGAGGTTCCTTTTATATACCTAAGGACCCTCTTCACATTTTGCCAATGTTCTCCACCGGGATTCCCCATGAATCTACTAACCACTCCCACTTGCTTGTGCAATGTCAGGTCTTGTACAAATCATGGCATACATAAGACTTCCCACTGCTTGATGCATACGGTGCTCGAGACATTTCAATCCTCTCAGCTTCACTTGCTAGGACTCATACTTGAGGATAACTTACGGTTGACGGGAAGTGGGGTAGAAATTGGCTTGCAATCTTGCATGTTGAAGCGCGCAAGATCTTAAGTAAATAATTCTTTTGAGAAAGCCAAATCTTCCTATCTTTTACTGTCTCGGTGAATTTGCATCCCTAAAATCTTGTTTGCTGGTCCCAAGTCCTTCATATCAAACTCCCTAGCCAATTGTGCCTTCAATTCTTGGATTCGAGCTTTGTTAGGGCCTACCACCAACATGTCATCCACATACAACGACAATATGATGAAATCATTTTCTTCAAACCTATTGTGGTAAGTACGATGGTCAGAACTTAGTACTGTAGTATCCAAGGCTAATAATGAAGGAATCAAATCTCTTATACCAACACCTTGGCGCTGCTTTAGACCATATAGAGATTTGTTCAACACTGCAAACCAAGTTTTCTTGCTCTTTGAAGCCTTACGGTTGGAGCATATATATTTCCTCTTCAAGTTCTCCATGAAGAAAAGCGGTTTTTACATCCAATTGCTCAAGATGTAAATCAAATGCGGCACACATCGCCGGGACAATTCGATTGTTGTCAATCTAACAAGCTGGTGAGAATATCTCGTTGAAATCAATGCCTTCTTTACGAGCATATCCTTTTACCACCGGTCTAGCACGATATCTTTCCACTTGATCATTGTCATCTCTCTTGATCTTATAGACCCATTTGCAACCAATGGCTCTGCGACCTTTTGGAAGTTCCACAAGATGCCATGTCTTGTTTTTATAAAGAGCTTCAATTTCTTCTTCCATAGCGACCATCCATAGAGGAGCTTCGAACCACTCACGGCCTCTTGAAAAGTTGAAGGTTCTCCTTCTTCACTTAGGAGACAATACGCATCATGACTTGTCATCACATATTGTGAATGCCAAGATGGTTTGACTCTTTCTCTTGTTGATCGTCGGAGTTCTCCTTCTTCCACCTCATTTGGCTCATGTTCTTCATGCTCCTCCTCTGACTCGGAGGAATGTTCAGAAGTCTTCTTCTCTATACGTACTATAGTCTTGTCCTTTTCAGAAGCTGTCATTTATCTGCTTGCTTTGCAGTTCTTTTACTGCAAAGATGACATCTCTGCTAACAATAACTTTGTGGGCGGTGGGATCCCACAAGCGATACCCCTTCACATTGTCGGCATATCCCAAGAAGATGCATTTCCTGGATTTTGGATCCAACTTCGTCCTTTCTTGGGTGTTGTACATCACGTACGCGGGACAACCGAACACATGTAAGGAAGAATAATCGGTTGATTTTCCACTCCACATTTCCATAGGAGTTTTCAACCCAATTGCTTTGTTGATGGAGACCGATTTATCAAGTAACGAGGCGGTATTCACGGCTTACGCCCGAAAAGACTTTGTTATGCATGCGGTTTGCAGCATAGCTCGCAGTTCTCTCTAGAAGAGTTCTATTCATCCGCTCTGCTACACCATTCTGCCGAGGCGTGTGTGGAACGAGAAAATTGTCTCACAATTCCTTCTTGCTTGCGAGAATGCTAGAAAATCTCCATCTACATATTCTCCTCCATTGTCTGTCCTCAAACACTTGATTCTCCTTAGGTCTCAAGTTCTACTTGTGTTTTGAAGTCTTTGAACCGCGCAAATACTTCGGACTTCTTCTTGATAGGGTATACCCATAATCTCCTCGAGTAGTCATCGATGAACGACACAAAATATTTTGCTCCTCGAGAGATAATTCGGCGATTCCCGGACATCGGAATGGATCAAGTCCAAAGTTTGCTTACTCCTTGTGGTGGTTCTTGCAAACTTCAACCTTGTGTTGTTTGCTTGTCACACAATACTCACGAAGGGTAAATCGACCTTCTTGAGCCCAGGTATGAGATCACGTTCCGCAAGAATCTGCAGACCTCGCTCTGACATATGTCCAAGTCTACGGTGCCACGTTACCGCCGCTTCTTCTTGGCTTGTTGACGCAGTTGTTGCATGATTTTCTTGCAAGGTGTCTCCCATAAGCACATACAAGTTTGCCATGATTTTCTCTGCTTTCATGACAACTATGTTTCCCCTCACTGCCTTTAAGATTCCTCCTTCAACATGGATCTTGCAGCCGAGGTCATCCAATTGCCCTATAGACAATATATTTTTCTTCAAGTCCTTCACATGTCGTACTTCTTGGATTGTACGAATAGTACCGTCATACATTTTTAATTTGACAGTACCAACTCCAGCAATCTCTAATGCATGGTCATTTCCCATGAACACGGATCCACACGAGATAGGCTTGTAGGTTTGAAACCAATCTCGGTGTGGGGTCATGTGCCAAGTTGCACACTGAATCCATTATCCACTTGTCATGAAATTCGTTTCCGCCATTAGAGGCGATTCTTTGCTTCGCTTACCAGAATTACTCCTTCCTCCGAAGTACTCGCAACGCAACCCTGTGAGGTTGATTCTTCATTCTTCCTCTTCCAACACTCTTTCTTCGTGTGCCCTTTCTTGCCACGGTAGTAGCATTTAAATTTGAAAGTCTTCTTGTTTCGAGAGCTTGATGCTGCCATGATTTTGACTCCCACTTGAGCCATGTTCCGTTGATCTTCCTCTCATCATCGTCAAAACTTCGCTTGTTTAGAACTTTCTACCTTATTCATTCGCCTGGATTCTTCTTCTAGAATAGCTCCGGCAACATCGTCAAAGTGTAGTTGTCCTTCAATATTATTATTTGTAATGTTGATGATGAGTTGATCATACGAGTGCGGCAAGCTCCGAAGTAAAAGCTCCGCACGCTCATTCTCAATTATGTTGAAATTTCTTGCTTGCTAATTGGGCAAACAAGGTGTTCGGTTGGTTGATGTGGTCCGATCACCGATGTGGACTCACTCATCCAGAAGAGTATAGAGTTTCCTCTTCGAGGAATATCCTTGTGTGAAGTGACTTCACCTCATATAATTTAATGAGGGCATCCCAAATCTCCTTTGCAGAATCTTTCTCCGCAACCTTGGATAGAGCTGAGTCTGCCATTGCCAAGTGTAAATTTGCAATAGCGTTGCTTGTCAATTTTCTTCCAATCTTTATCCGCCATTTCTACGGGTTTTCCCTCGATTGCTTCGCACAATTGTCCTTTCTCAAGATTGCCTTCATCTTCAATTTCCACAACGAGAAATTGTTCCAGTTGAACTTCTCTATCTCGTACTTTCTTTGCCATAGTTGTGTTTCCACTTATGCAACTCTCACTTATGAATAGTATTGTCTCTGGAACAATAGTAGTAGGCTAGTGAACCAATACACTAGGTAAGTTCCCGGAAAGAGAGGTGAGTCACTAATGGACACACTTAAGTACCAAGTCTTTCCTAGCAGAACTTTCCCAGACAACAGTTTCACACTACTACACCTTTTCCGAGTAACAACTCTTTTCGATGTGGAAGATCAGATTAAACCGCAACCACAGAGCATACTCAGAATTTTACCAACACTATTCTAGTGACTAGCGCAACGGAACTCGAACGCAGCTCTGATACCACTGTTAGGATCAGAGTACCAGCATAAATACACACAACTAAAATAGAGACGAGAAAAATAACCCTGACAATAGGCAAAAATGAAAATTTTATAATGACCACTCTTTCCTTTTACAATTGGAAATTACCAATACTAGGAAAGTAAAAGAGAAAGAAGGAGAAATATTTGGGATGTTTGAAATAAGGGGGGAGGGGCTCCTTTTATAGGAAGGAGGAGAGCCCCCAATTGAAGTTCCCACGGATGTGGGACTTCTTTCTTCACATCAACTTCATTGAACTTTCCATTTAAAGGAGCATAAAGTCCTTCATAAATTTCTTCATTAGTATCTTCGCATTTTCTTGTTTTATATGTGCAAAAGAGCAGTAAAATTGCTCCTGGTAATAATAGAACATCTGAAGTACCCTTGAGGGACAATTCTCCACTACTAATTACATAAGACAAGGATAATGCACATAAGATACCAGAAACACAGAACATAACAATAAAAAATAGCCATAGCCATACTATCGTTAGCAGTTTCAACTGAAGACTTACGATTAAACCTACTAACAACCATGTGAATCCTTGAAAGAGTTCTGATAACCACCAAGTTAGAGGAAAAACAGTGTCTGTTTTCCTTAATTCTTCCTCTAAAACCCAAATGCCTATACACAAATGCGACAAGCCAAGAGTACCATTGACTATCGCAGATACTAGTTTAAAGTTTGAATAACATTCCATTCGGATTAGAGCCAAAAATGGTCTTGATGAAGACTTAGTAGCAACACGTCAAAGCAAATGACCAACAAATGGGTAAAGCGTGTGGAAGGATCTCTCAATAACATGAAATCATGACTGAAAGGCTTTATTCCACTCTCAAAATAACCAGAATACCCACAAATCATGCTCCAGATATCCTCCATATTCATTCCGACTTCTCTTTTCTGCCCAAACTCTGCGACATAAAGGCCAACAAAATCATATAGAAATATTTATTCTACATGTGGAAACAAATTTGAACCAAAGAATGCGGGTCATATCATGCACAATAAGCAACACTACAATAGCCAAGGACCATTATGTTCCAAAAGTAAATATATTTGTTAGTTTCTGTGTGTTGCAAATAATCCATGCAAGAATTATTTGGGTTTGAAACGTTAAGTGAAGATCCAACTTAATTGTTCCCTCTGTCACATTAAAAGGCAGATAAGTAGAAAAATAACTCTTGAATGTCATTTTAGCTATTGAAGATACTAGCTACGTTTTCTACTTGTATCTCTAATTATGTTAGTTTTCTTATGTAACACCAAAGGAAGAAAAAAAATATAAAATTACTATTTATCTTGCATCTATTTATTAGTTTTTTCTAAATAAACCTATAGAACAAAAATTTGTTATCAAATGAGAGTGGAAAGTGCGAAAGTATTATTCTCCTGTAAATATTTTTACATAGAAGCAGACCAATTCGTCTAAAAGCTTATGATGTAACTTTTTTAGCAATTTAGAAAATATACATAACATTTGTCAATAACATTTGTTAAACTACCTCATGTTACTCCTCCTTCCATCTCATGTATAATGGTAAACTCAACTGTTGTAGATTTACTATCGATGACTTAGATAATTTTTTTCTATCCTCTCACTCTCTTCAGAAAAACCAAAATCTAAAACATTAAGAGGTATTAGGAATATAGAGAAAGTTAACTAATGACTAATCACATTCAACAAAAATAGGAAGCAAATTCCAAGAGAAATATATCACTCAAAATAAAATAAGAAAAGAATTAAAGTCTATATCTTCAAATGTAAACTATTAATGCTCATTTAGTAAAACACAAGACAGTTGCACATGCACTACTCCATGACAAGTATTTCTAGATTCTGCAAAATAAATAATAACAAACTTTTTCAACATGAAACAACGCTACAAGAAAAAGCACTTTTAGTGATCGAAATTAACGACCAAATTTTTTCGGTCTCAATTAGCGACGGATTTAGTGACTGATTTAATTCGGTTGCAATTAGTGACCAATTTAATTTGGTCACAATTAGCGACCAATTTAATTCGATTGCAATTAGCGACCGATTTAATTTGGTCACAATTAGCGACCGATTTAATTTGGTTGCAATTAGCGACCAATTTAATTCGATCACAATTTAGCGGCCGACTTAGAGACCGATTTTATTCGGTCACAATTTAGCGACCAATTTTGTCACCAAAATATGATTTGGTTTCATTTTTTTATTTAGCGAACGAAATAGCGACCAATAGTTTGCGTCACAAAATTTTGGTCTCTAAATCGGTGTCTATTCTATACTAAAATAAAAAAATTTATTTAACAACTGATTTAGTAAGTGAATGACAAATTAAAATAGTGACCGAATTGAAATCGGTCACTAATGAGAAAAATAGTGACCGAATTAAAATTGGTCGCTAATGAACATTATTTTTTTATTATATTTAAATTTATTTTTTTATAAATATACTTTAATTGCTTTAGTATAATTTTTACAATTTATTTTTTAAAAGTAATTTATTTTTTAAAATATACTTTAAAAATAAACTTTGGTCTCAATATTAACAAAATAAAAATTAATTTTAATTTTAAATTACTAAAATAAAAATATTATTAAAAATAAATCAAATTTATTAAAAATTGAAATTATAATAAATTAAGACTGGAGTGATATTAACTATTCAATACATTGTTTAAGAAAAATTTAATAACAAATATTCTTTAATATATTTTTCAATTGAAAAATTTAATTTAAATTAAATTATATTTTAAAAATTTATATTAAAAAAATTGAACATATCAAATTATCACATTTTAATTCCTCATTAACTTAATTAATTAAAAAAATTACAATATCAATCAAATTTTTACAATTTTATTTTATAATATTTTATTTTTATTCTAGTTTTTAAATTTATTGCTTTATTATTATTAATTTTTTAATCATGTTTGTTTTCATATAATTGATATACTAGAAAAAAATTTATATCAAAACATTAGATAATAAATATATTATTTAATTAAATTATTTATAAAAATATATTTATCTTTAGTTGAAATATTTTTTTACTTTAAATATACTCATTAATATTTTTCATGTTTAACAAAATTAATAACAAAGATAAAAAGTAGACTGCTAGAAAAGTTAAAAATTTAAAACTAATTCATTTTATAATATAAAAAAATAAATCATATTTAAATAATAAATATATAATATAAAGGGTAGGGGAGCCTCTAGATAATAAAGGGTTGTAAATAAATAAAAAACGTAAATAATTAATTTTGTTATCAATTTAGCGACCGATATAAATTGATCGCTATTTTTTTAACTTTGTCACCGATTTAGCAACTAATTTAATAATATTAATTTCGATCGTTATTTAGATATTTAAGGAATAAGCGACCAAATTATTTAGCAACCACCTTATCGGTCGCTATTTTTGCAACCAAAATGAAAATCGATGGCCAACACATTAGCGATTTAGCTTTTTGCGACGATGCATTTCGATCGTTAACCGATTAGCGATCGATTTTTTAACATTAGTGACCGAATTTTTCGATCCTTAAAATTGTTTTTTCTTGTAGTGTCAATTTCAGCTTGTTCACTTAATTTTGCATATACTTTCTACAAAACAACATCTTTTTCTTTTAAAAGATAAAAGAAATCATGGAAAAATGTTTTATAGCTATAATTTTTTTTCTACTAGATTTGGTAACATAAAAATAATGAATTTTATCAGCTAATTTACTCTCATACAATTATGGTATGAGTGTATAGTCAAAATCACTTGTAAATAAGATAACAATCTAAACACTAACCTATCTAAACAAGCTAAAACCATTTCAACAACTGAGCACTGAATCCGCCAGCATTTCACATCTCTGCCAGTTGCATGCATGAAAATATAATAGTAAAAAAAAGTAAATGAGTAACACGGGAAAAAACAGATATATTAAATCCATCCCTGTATTACGACATTTTAATAAAGTGATTAGGTCGACGGTCACATCTTCATTTTGATCCATTTTGTCAAAGAAAATTGACTGGGTTTTTTTTTAATATTTATATATTAAAATTAAAAAAGTTATAATTAAAAATATTAGTATTTTATTTGATATTATTAAAATATATTATAATTTTAATTATAAATGTTAACTCATTAAATTTAAATGATTAATTATAATTAAATATTTTAATATATAAATATAATAATTGTTTAAAATTATTTAATAAAATATTAATAAAAACTTTAAAATATTTATATAATTAAAAATATATTTTTAAAAATATATTATTGACAGATTAATTCTTAATAATAAATACACTGTATTACTATTTTGTTGCAACATTTAGTATTATTTTAATAGTCATAGAAACACTGTAGTCTTTTATATTTTATTCAAATCATAAAATATTATATTTTATTAACCACAATTTTCACAATACATTATACAATTTAGTTGGGAGGGAGATTATGACTATTTGATAACAGCTAGACAACGACAGGCTAAAGTTGCAATGAACTGAAATTGGAAATTAGGTTGTGTTTTCCGTGACTTTATAAACAAATGTATGTGACGTATTTAGAGATTTTAAAAATATTAAAAAGAAAATGTTGCATTAAACTATATGAAAGTAAATAATTATAAGATGTTATACGTGAAAAGAAATATATAATATAATTTGAATGTCAGAAATGTTTTAAAAAGGAATATTATATTATTTGTTAATAAATAATATATTATTTGACCAAGTTATAAAGGTTTCACGAGATTCATGTTGGCTTACACATTACTTTAAGTCATATTGAAATGAGTCCTCTTTGGTCCACAACTTGCCTAACCAAGAAACTTTGGTGCACATTTTGTTTGCATGTCACAAAAGTCGTAAGATATGCAGTGAGACTTCCACTCCATTTTTTTTAATACTAAGAAAGGCGTCCATCAGATACAGGCAAAGCCAGAAATAATAGATCAATGGGACCAAATTAATAATAATAATAATAATAATAATAATAATAATAATAATAATAATAATAATAATATATTAATTTTAATTATAATATAAAAATAATATATTATATAAAATGATTATAAAGTATTTACGTATATTTACAATTAATCTAAACAAATTTATATCAGATTAATTATATTCATAGATTTAATATGTTTCATGTTGTAAAAATATTAATTATGACTTTTGAATTTAATTTTGTAACGATTTTCTTTTCACGTTATTTCTTAAATTTAAATTTGATAAATTGTAGTTTATTTAATCACTAATTTTCTCTTTTTTCTTTTTTGAAAAGTTTATATTTTCCTTTTAGACATTTAAAGTTTAATTATAAAAGAGAAAAATAAGAATAAATGAAAGAGAAAAAACATAAAACTTTTTGTTTATTGTTTTTTTTTCATTTTCAAAAACTAAAAGAATTATTTTGTTGAAACTGTTTTTTCTTTTGAATTTGTAAGGCAAAAAAAAAATCTAAAATCGGTAAGATGTGTTTTCTATTTTCCATCAATAAATATCAATATTTTTATTAATAGCTACATTAAATCACTTATTTCCATCAACATATAATTATCAAAATCATCTTCCAACCCTTTTCGATGTAACTCATGTCATATTCTCTTTCGTTTAAAATAGTTTTTAAAAATAAACAACTTTGTTTTGAATTTATTATCAAAAATAGTTTTTTTTTTTAAATTGAACTATAAAACTGTTTTTAGAAACTAAAAAACAAAATTAAATCAAACAAGTCCTTACAGTTTTTATGTCATAAGAGAGAAAAAAGAAATGGCAGTAAAAAGGATAAGGGAGAAAAGTATGAAAATGTAGAAGTAAAAGAATAAGCATAAAAGAGAAAAGTTAGAAGAGGAAAGTGGAAGGGGGAGAGATTAACGTGTATAAA